TGGACACGGGTGTTGGTGCCGCCAGTTGTGTTTGTGAGTGCGGGTTTGGCCAAATCTGCGGCTCAGTTTCTCCAACTGGGACGTCTTTGGGCCGATCAGTCGAAGCGTCGGTGGGGCTGACGGCACAAGTGGACAGACTTCGAGGGCTGGAGGTGATTTTGGTGTTGATGTCGTTGTTGGATGGAGGACAGAAGAGGAGAGTCTGTCTAGAGGGTGGCAGAGTCAAAGAGGCGTCAGAGGTCTTTGGTACTGCAGTCTGCCGCAGGTCTCGCTGAAGCAGGCCAGTGAGTATCTGAGGCAATGAGGGCGATCCGAGAAGATGGCCGAAAAATGCCCGCTCTACAAAGCAGGGCTCGACCTGACGCAGTCCAGCCAGCCTGACGAGCAGACGGCCGAGGCGAGCCGTGGCGACTGAATCGGGCCGGTTGGATTGGTCCGTCTTGCGGCAAGCCAACTCGTAGGCCTCGAGAACGGCCAATGCTCGTGTCTGTAGAAATTCTGCCAAAGCGGGGTCTCGAAGCCCTGGAACATCTGGAATCCAGAGAGTAGGGTCAAGACAGGAGTGTAGCCAGTTACAAGACACATTTCTACATGAAGCATTTAAATTAGGGTTTCTGACAAAAAATATGCAAGGAAAGTTGGATTTCGAGAAATCGCTTTTTTCATAATTGTTGAGCTTACTTCCATTTCGAGTGAAAGTGTTGGGTGAAGGGATTCGAAGGTGGGTTCCACGAATTACTCTTGGCCAGCTGTACTGGAAGATTCATGCTGAAGCTGTTTCCGAGGCAATCTTATTCGATTCCGATGAAAAGGTTCTGAGCACATCATCAGAGCAAGATATCATTGTCACGACAAAAATCAAGCTAACGAGTCAAGAAAACTCCTTGAACGCCATGACAAAACGACCAATTTGTCAAAACTAAGTCGAACAACTTCTATACAACAAAAGAAGACCGCGACCATACTATGGGCCAAACCATCTTGGTCTTCATATCTTCGAATAAAATGATAGCATAGACCTCATGATGTCATTAGCTTTGACTTATACTTGCCTCTCAGGGGTAGATCTGGCTGGCAGGACGGTGGGCCGAAGACTGCTTCGCACGATACAACAGTCTTCCCTACGCGGCAATCCTCCTTCGGTTTCCGGTGAGACCACATGAAAAACTCTTCTCAAACAACATTTCCTTCGAAATGTAAAGTCGTGTCACCAGGTTACCACAACTTTATGGCCAGCTAGGCCTTCAATTTTATTCAATTCCGTTCTATTGTGTTGCATACTCCTATCATTGTAGGAAAAACTCGTTCATTACCACGTGCTATCCTAGGTGAATACAGTTTCAAAACCTTTCGAAACATACTCAGTCGGGATATGATTAGCACACCCTGCATTCCTCCCTTTAAAGTAAGATCTAGATTCAGGATAGACGCTGGTTATCACTTTCCCATGCTTATTCGCCTCGCCGAACGGATTTGTTACTCAGCGCGTTCTTACTCAAAAGTCTGAACCAACATCATAGTTCTCAATCACTGGCTATACTGGACCACAGGACAGACTGGATACCTTCATATTAACGCTTATATTATGGATATCGCTACATAATAATTTAAGTGCATAAGTCAAGTATATAATTAGAGTTTCGAGACTACCGGTAAATCAGTCATATGAGATGTATTCACCCTATTTCGTTTAAGGGGATGAAGGACTGGTAGTAGCATTTTCCCACAATTATATGACACAAGATGACGTTTCCATTAAATTTCACATAGCCTTGCTTTACCAAAAGTTGTTCTCATCCAGGCACCAGTGGACTGCAGTTTAGACCTCACATCGGTCTTCCCAACACCCTCAGCGGGAGTCGAACCGTGACACTGCATAGTGTGAGCTTGACACGTTAACCACTCGGCCTCATTGCCACGAGTGTCCTTGGGTCACAGGGCAGATGTGATTTTCAAGGAAGGCCAGGTTTTTTGCCATATTACATTCTTTGGTGGGATTGTCGATGAGGCAAACGTATATTTGCTATAACAATCGACTACGTTACTTATTTTTAGTATCTAAGTAGAGTTTCGAGACTACCAGCATTCGCCCTATTTAGTTTACGGTGATGAAGGACTGATAGTCTCGAAACTCTACTTACATACGAAAAACAAGTAAGGAAATAAGAAAAGTTCTAAACTCGCTTGAAATTGACAGCTGCCTTGTGACTGGAGGGCACTCATGACAATGTGGCCGAGTGGTTAATTTGTCAAGCTCCCATTCTGCACTTTCACGGTTCGAATCCCAATGGGGGTGTTGATAAGACCTATGCGAGGTCGAAACTGCAAAGCTATGTGAAATTCAATGGAAACGTCAGCTCAATGTGGGAAAATTCTACTACCATTCCTTTATAACCTTAACCGAAATAGGGTGAATACATAAATCAAGTAGCAAAGGATGAGTCTGTATTGTTAAACTAGAGGCATGTATTTAGCTTGACCTCATTTTCAAAACTTGGTCATGATCTCAACGATACCTCGAAAATCTTAGATATGTCGTCCAAGATGGTGTGGCCTTCTGTTTGATCTCGAAAAGTTATCTAATCTTGCGTCCCCTGCTAGAATGGCACTGATAATTGACCTTATACATTACAAGGATTTGCCGAAATGTAGAAGCGAGTTGGCATTTATTGCCAAGGCAAGAGCTTTTCACTGACGATGGCTATTACGATACTAGTCTAGGAATGTATAAAGTCAACAGTCTGATGCTGGAGATTATGAGAACTAGTCTGACAGAGGAAGTGGGGTTAAGTAAGTTTTCCGTGATCACCATGGCTTCCGTACCAAGTTGTAAAAATGATTACAAATCATCGTACATCGAACTAAGGCTTCAACCAAAACAAAGGTCACACGATCTCGGTCTTCTTACCTACAACCAAACAGGAAGAATGTGTGGATAGTATCATTTAGAAGGTAGACTGCCAATTAATGCCTATTACTGGCGATATATACAATTTAGCCATTGAAACACATTTATCAACAATGGAGCATTAGTAAACTTTCCAACAACATTAACCAGCCAACATTAACCAGCCTGACTGTGTATTCACTAGCTAGATTATAAAAGCGATTAAATCCTAATATGACTAATTCGAGTTTAGTAAATAGTCATTCATTGTGGATGTCCCCCAATTTTCTCTTCTTTTATGACTTTCTTTAATTTTCACTTTTAAATATCAGAGAAGCAATGATGCTTACTTAATGTAACCTGATCAAAAGTTAGTATTGCGCCTAGTGAGCTTGCTCACAGCTTTGCTTTCGAGCTAGAAAATAACCTTAAAAAACTCCAAAACTGAAATAATTTGAGGGCTTATTTAAAAAAGGATTTTCTTACCTATATATAATTGTTATATATAGTTTAAGGAATCGTCAGATATTCGATTCACAATAAAATATCAGAAGCTTTAATGTTGGAGTAACTTTCAATTCGTTTAAAAAGGCGAGTGTAACGGATTCGTAAGTTGGCCTCACCTGAATCTATAGGGGGATAGATAGCCTTGGAGCCGTGACTGTAGCTTTGTGCGAATAAGTCCTTGACTCACCGCCCTGCGATCCCAGCAATGATTCATCAGGCTCACAGGGCGGTGCGCCGAGGACCTATTCGCACAAATCTACAGTCACGGCTTCAAGGCTATCCCCCTACAGATTCCGGTGAGGCCAACTTACGAATCCATTACATTCGCCTCTTCAAACGAAAA